TCGTGCTAAAAAACCCCCGACGATTTATAACTTTGTTTCGGACTTTGTATAGCTCAAGGTCGAGACACAACAACAGATGGTTGTATTAGACCCGGTTGTTGAAGCCGCACTGTGTCAGGGTGCTTGATTCTTGACACCACATTAATTGCACAGGGGATGGAAAGTTGCGCCTGTTTTATTATCCCGTTATGTAACGGATTGCCGGTATTCAATGGGCCGCACTTCCTATGTACGGTCAAAGATAGTACATAACAAGATGGGCCACTCAGCCAAAAAAGTGTCCGCCGGAAGTTCGCTCTTTGCTTCAGATGGAGCTGTCTTTCGTTTTTCCAGAAGAAGAATAGGAATAGCACCTCCTTGCGTGCGCAGATCGACTGCTGTTCATCAGCAGTTTGAGTTCGTTCAGTGTGGAGTTTTAGTTTTAAAAAAATAATTTTAATGACCTCTCGCCTTTCATTCTAAAGTCAAATTAAACGAAGAAAACAATCACCCTTTCCTCCGGAAGAGGGTTTTTTTTTTGTCAGCGTAACCATTAAAAAAAAGCGTTCTTCCGAAATTTATTCAAAAACTTGCTAGTTTCACTTTGATTTTTTAAACTCAAGTAGGGTAACTCTGTTCGCAAAGGGTGGGCTTTAGCGAAGAGGGCGCCACCGAATTTTGAAGACACTTTTTTAATTAGCTCAAAGAGAGAAGTGGCCCCTCTTGTTATGTAGACTCTTTGGTACGGTAAATTGTGCAGGTATTTGTTAATGTGGTATCGATTCTGAGATAGCTGTGGTCTTGAATCAGAATCCCGGTTTCGATCATATTTAGCTGATTCAGTGCTCTTTATTTATTTTTATTTTTTTGGTAAGTGTTTTACGGCGCTCTCAACTGCATAAGGTCATATGAGCGCAAGGGACACACCAAACATTTTCAGTTGGTAGGAAATTTTGAATTTTGCCCAGGTGGCGGCCGAAGCCTACTCTTATCGATTTTAGACCACCAAGGGATCTTTAACGTATGCAGCTTGTAAACGGGAGCTACTAAATTTTTCGCCCTTGTCCGAGAAGGCTAGATGTAGATCTTTCCTACCAGAAGATCAGGGGTGTGGCTAAAAGGCAGCAGTAAGAAGGAGCCAAGGAGTAGCTGTAGAAAGGCTGAAGAAAGATTCAGGAGCCCAGAGGAGGGGGCAAAGGAGGTGAGGGGGTGGGGGAAAAAAGTGGAGATGAATGCAGACGACAGAACATTGCCAGAGAGCAGTAATGGATGTGAAAGGAGACAATTTTAGAGAAAAAAAATGTCCATCGCTACCCGGATTCGAACTTGGGACCTTTGATTGAGAAGCGAACACCTTAACCTCTTGGCCACGAGAGCCTCGGATGCTCTCTGAACACCGTTCAAATAATGGACCTCTCTGTCAGGTTGGGGATACATTGTTTTGCTAAAAATACTAGCATCTGCGTTTGTCGCGGCCGCGACCCGCGAATCGCGGTGCGATTTTTGGCTTTTTTTTGGTCCGCAAATCACGGCCGCGATTTTTGCATTTAAAAAAATGAAAAGGATACTTCATAACATAGACGTGTATTTTGATAATCTTAAGGTGTCCATCTATAGTTATTTTCACGCGAAGAATAGTACTAAGTACATGACATACTATTTATTATATTGCTATAATTTGTCTTTTATTTATCCCTCTTTGTTGGAGTGTTAATAGGTGGGGGGGGGGGGGGGGGTATATTCCCGACCTATTGTGTGTGTTTATATAGCGTAATGCCATTTAATTTGACGTTCCTACATTTAAAATAAATAAATAAATGTGTTATGTTAGAGCGTGTCTCCACCAAAACCGAATATTGGCACTGGCAGGCCCCTTGGGTACGATTCCATAATTTACATGTCAATATCCTGTACATTTTCTTGAATTAAACACGTTTAGGGTTGAAACAGCCAATCTTCGGATAGGTGGACACACGCCCTTATTTGTTACTTTTTGCGGTTGTTTGTGTGCTGTTCTAATTTTGGTTTTATTATGTTGGCAAACCTTTATCTTTTACGGTTTTACACTATATGTGGCTACAAATAATATTCTGGATGCTTAAAACAGAGCTCAAGAAATTCTGATGCTTTAGATCTAGATTAAGTTACCTCTACCAATATATTATGTCGTGACAGCTAGTTGAAAGCTTGAAAATTAATTGCAACTTTTTTGGCAACATTTACAATTTTTGTGGCAACTTTTGTACCCCCCCAAAAAATGGCAACAAACGCAGATGCTAGAAAATAGCGGAAGAGATCTACTACTTAAACCTAGACTCATAGAATTTCAAGTCGGTATCATGTTGAATACCAGTGCAACCTAAATACTGGTACCGAAAATCCCTATCCAATGCTCCAGTAGGTTTTGAAAAACTCCTTTGAACATTTTGACAATAGAATTTTGTTTTAAAAAACATGCGCAATTTTCCGCTGCTCATCTGCACACCTTCGCTGCTCCATTCAAAGCCATAGATTGATGCGCAGTATCAGAGAAAATAATAATCAGGCTCCTGCAAAGAGGTTTTATATAATAATAAGTGTCGAAGACTATAGGTGTTAAAAGAGAGTAACAAACTCAAAAAGAAATAGCAAAGACACTAGAGCATCTGCCAACTACCCTCTAAGGCGTCTAGGAAATACCGCAAACATCCTGTTTGGAAATCGAAAAGCACAATATAGCACCAGCTGAACTGATGATGTTCTCAATGACAACACAGTTTCAAAAGGGAACACGGAAGAAATCTTGTACGTGTGCAATGTGTAACCCAGGAGTTTGACTTAACACACAGCATCGATAAATTGAGGGAACACAAAGATCAGTTTATCTACTGGAAATAAAACCTCTCTGATGTGGCCTCTGCGTTTGTCGCGGCCGCGATTTTTGACATTTTTCAGGGAAAAAAGCTACCTCATAACCCATTAGACATGTATTTTTCTTCATTTTAAGGTGTCCATGTACAGTTATTTTCATGCGAAGAATATACGTACATTACATACTATTTATATTGCTGTCGTTAATTTTAAAATTAATTTTTCTGATGTGCTGTTTTTCTAAATTTTTGTCTGTGTTTATATAGGGTGATGTAATTGAAATTGATGTTGTTCCTACCCTTTTAAAATTCATATACATGTGTTATGAAGAGTGTGTCTCCACTAAAACCGAATTCTGACACTGGCTGGCCCCTTGTGTGTGATTCCATAAGTTACTTGTAATATCCTGTACTTTTTCTTGAATTGAATATGTTTAGAGTTTAGCGTTAAAACGGCCAATCTTCGGATAGGTGAACACACACCCTTATTTGTTAATTTTTGTGGTTGTATTAATATGTGCTGTTCTAATTTTGATTTCATTCTATTGTGAAACCTTTCTTTTTCACCTTTTTACACTCTGTGTGGTTACAAATGATATTCTGGATGCTTAAAACAGAGCACAAGAAATTCCGTTGCTTTAGATTAAGTTACATGTACCTCTAGCAACATGTTGCTACATACGTCTTCACAGAGTTGAAAGCTTGAAAAATAATGGCAACTTTTAGACTAAAAAATGGCAACAAACGCAGATGCTAGTCTAATTGTGTAGAAACACAAAAAAATAAATAAAATAAAAGTAGACACTCCAACGATATAAGATAAAAAAAAGTATAGCATTGCAAAGAGTTATGTGTAAAGATAGAGAGAAAACATTTCGACTAACAAATTAATGACACCTTCTTCCAATGCGCATCCACTGAAGTTCAATCGAGAATTGAGAAATGTGTGTACAAGCCGGGCTATTTTATTACACTTTTCTTTAAAACAGAGGGGGGAGGGGGGGGGGAGTATGCCTTTAAAAAAATTACACTTTTCTTTAAAACAGAGGGGGTTATCCTGACTTTCCCCCTTTGCTTACACGGGTGTCTTAAGTATAATGTCACGGTAAATGTAAGGTCTTCGGCTATAACAGTGCGGTCAGAAATTTGTGAGGCAACTTATCCTCAAATATCCCTTTAACGGGTGAAGCAGAGTCACCCATACTTTGCACTTCAGTTTATATCAATTTGTCTAAACTTTGTCATATTTTTGCGCAACAATAGAGACTAGATTTTAAAAACTTTTCTTCATAAACATATCTACAATACTACAAATCTTTGTCACCCGGAAAATGGGAGTGTTCACAGCATTTTCTGCTTCTCACACACATTTCGATACCCATAAATTATGGCGAACATCACTGCTCAATAACGATGCTCGTTAGTGGCAAAACTTGTTATAGAAATTAGTTTTATCGTGAACACGTCTTCCGCATTACGGGTTCTCAAAACATGCTTTCAAGAAGCATAGTGTCACAATTAGACGAAAGCATGCGCTTGCTTTTAAAAGCGACATTATTCCAGCCCACTGGATGTAAACCATTGTTTATTTATTTATAGAAACCACCCACGGGTAATTTTAACTAGTATTTACTTGGGAATGTTCTAGACCACAGCTATCAGGCAATTAAAGAAAAGTTGATATATTACAACGAAGTCATACAAGACACTGTGCAAAAGCTGGAGAGTCTGTGCTCTATAGTTGCTGGATTGTTTATTAACAATAAGTTGCGCCACGAAATTTTGACAGCATTGATCATCAACCAGGCCAGATCTGCGACAGACATCGGCGATTATGGTTCTCCATTCATTCCTTTGCGCGGATGCTCTTAAAAAAAAAGAAGAAAAAAAGCTATGTTTTCCTGATCTTTCCCTGTCACCCACTTGTTCAAGTTCCCCAAGTAGGTTGCCCTCGGCCTACCCCTGCCTCGCTTGCCCTCAGTCTTGCCACTGAGAGTTAGATGTTCAAGACCCTTATGTCTATTCAGGTGTCCTTAAAACTGCATTTGTCGTTTCCTGGTGGTTTTTAACCGTGAGCGTCCCACGTGGGTTTCATCAAGCACTACCTCATTTGATTTCTTTTCCTTCCACGATATTCTTAGCAGTCTCCTAAGAAACCACATTTCTGTTACTTCTGTTTCTTTTTCCCTGTCTTTAGTGATTGTCCAGCATTCACAGAGCCATATAGAAGGGTTGGCAGAACTACAGTACAAAGGAAAAACTCATCGGCGAGATTCCCTCAAGAGGAAGTCTGTTTTATAATTCTCCACTTCTCTGCTTGGATGCTGTATCCCGCTCAACTCGGGTTTGTTCGACAGGCAGGATCAAACTCCCCCCCCCCCCCCACACACAAACACAACCCCTCAATATGACCATGTTTGTATCGAAGGTGGAGCAATATATGGTCATTATCATCGTACACTCATTCGCCGGTTTAAAATCCAGTTTCCTCCTTGTTGTCACAGTGGATTAGAAGCATGAACAAATTAACGTAGTCTAAACATGTAAGGGTGTTTCACAGACATAACTTCTACTTAAAAAGCACGGAATGTCGAGTAGTGAGAAATGGTCTGTATTGAAGAGAACGCAATCTTCATTTAGCTTATTGTTTGGCTCTCCCTCCTCGAACAGGGTACCTATTTCCGTTTGCGTTGCGTTTCGACCATGAGCCCACACAAACTGATTTTCCACAAGCCGATCATCCAGCCCTACCCAGAAACCACGAGGTGCATGGTTGTCTGGGATACTGGAAACTCTCTTGAGGAGTTGTAGCTTGTCCTTCGAATCTGTAGCAAACAGTCGTCCGTTGATGAAATTCATACAGGATAGCTCGGCATCACTGTACAATTTTTTATCCGTCACTACAAGCAGACAAACTGCTACATTTTTGTACAGGAAAACGTTAAACCCAGAACTAACGTCACACTGGCTATTCTTCGTGTGGGCGTAGAAATTGTCTAGTCCCGTTGGTGGGGTCCCCTCGTTATTGAGCGATGCAGCGCACGTACACGTGCCCGCCTTTTTGTTGAAAATGAAGTAAGCACTCCAGTGTCGCGAGAGACACGAACTACAGCAAGCAAGTAGGGATGACCTGGCATAAGTTCCTGCCTGGATTATTCCCAGTTTTGGAGATTGAAATCTGCGGAAGCCGTGGTTGTTCGTCATTTGGCTAGACAGAAAGGGAATGTGGTACACGTACAAGAAAAGGCAGAGGTAAGTCAATAAGGTGTTTAAACGTATCAGCAGGGACATTCTGAAAAGTTCTGGTGTAATGTAAAGTGATATCGACTTGTGCACGTAAACCTCAGGCAGAATTATCATCCTGAATACCGCAGCCCGGAGCAACACCAGTAGACAAAGGAACAGAGGGAGGTCACTTGAACAGCTCGGACACATCATGGTCAAAGGGTTACGTTACACATTTGACCTATCCGGTGAGATTGAGCATCAGATAGAGCAGGGGTTCTTAGCGTGGAAGGGGGGGGGGAGGGAGATTTACAACATTTATTCTAGTGACTCGAACTTTTAAAAGTCCCATTTATTCCTTGAATTGCGATCAAAAGGCGCTGAGACGCGGAGGATTGTCGGAAATGCCATTGACAATTAATGATTCCACCTGTTTAAGGCTCATTGTCTCTAGGCAGAAGAAACCTATCATCTAAACATTAATGGCATACCCGCATTGCAAGGTTTCCACCCATAGGCCTATTCTCTTATCGTACGAACATAATAAGAAGAAGATACTGACCAGCCGGAATGTTAATTAATTATAGATATCTACTAGTTCGGCACCCTTTCGATGAAAGGAATGATCGGTGCTTTGATATCAACTAAAAGTCATTGGCACTCTCTACTGGAATGGGGAAATAAATTTTGAGAGATGCAAACAATTAGAAGGTCTAGATCTAGATCTATACTCTCAAAACAAAATGCGCCTAGCGAAATATCACTTTCGGATTTACTAATATTAAAGAGACAGAAGCGTGTGTGAGCACATCGGGTCGGTAAGGTTACGAGTGAGAAAAGCTCAGATAGCTGTAGGGAAGGCGAGGGACCTATACTTTCTTATACATGAACTGCTCTGAGCGTCTAGCCAGGGACGGATGTAAGACCATGCAGCATGAATGTAGTGATAAAAGCTTGTAATTTTGTTTTTTGATATTTTTGCTTTCTTTCGTAAACACGTCTAAACAAATGATTATGATTTGTTTTTATTATACACAAAGGCATCCCGCAAGGATATCTAACAGCAAAATTGATAATGAAACAAAAGAAATCAGCGCACGTAACACCAATTCTGAAAGAACTACACTGGCTTCCAGTAGAAGAAAGGTTCAAATACAAAGACTGCTGTTTTCTGTTTTAAATGTAAAACTGATACTGCACCTATTCATCTAAAACTAAAAGAATTCTTGGATTTATATCATCCACGCAGAGCCCTTAGATCGGCCACTGAGACAATCTAATTCTTGGAACCCCGAAACAAAATTACAAAACCTACTAGGAGCGAGCGCTCCTTGGGAACGAACTCCCTTTTAAAATAAGGAGTGCCCCTACTATATGCATTTTCCAAAATTAGCTGAAACAAAAGATCCTTGTCCGAACCAAGGCTCGAACCTTTGTCATTGGTCATGTCAAATTAATGTTTTAGCGGGTGCTGCTTCTCTGTTTGTCGCG